TGACCCAATTTCAAGCTACTTTCAGTCCTGAAATTAATAAAAATCATCTCTATTTCTTCTAGGTAGTAGGCTGGTGACAGCAACCGCCCAGGGAGGTACTACCGTCCTGCCAAGTGAGTGTACAACGAAAACCTGTATTGTTTTACATGATGGTAGGATTGCTGGTGTCTTTTGTCTGTCCTCATAAACATGCAAGATTTCAGGTATGTCTTGCTACTTCTACTTGCACTTAGGCACACTACACATACATGTTCAAGCATATATATACACACCCCTCTGGGTATTCTTCTATTTTCTTTCTAGTTCTTGTTCTTGTTTATTTCTCTTATCTCCATGGGGAAGTGGAACAGAATTCTTCCTCCGTAAGCCATGCATGTTGTAAGAGGCGACTAAAATGCCGGGAGCAAGGGGCTAGTAACCCCTTCTCCCGTATAAATTACTAAATTTAAAGAGAAACTTTGTTTTTCTTTTGGCCACCCTGCTTGGTGGGATACGGCGGTGTGTTGAAAGAAAGAAGAAAGATCTCTATTTCTGATATCTTCCATTGTATCAAATGAGATCAAGAAACTGAAAATACAACCATAAAAAACATACAAAAATACACCACAGTCGCTGTTCTAAACCAAAAACACAGTCGCATTTTTTCTCATTATGCACTGCATGCTGTAGGATTTTTTATATGGTGCACACTTACTACATAGACCTATTCTCTCATATCTAGGCCTAAAATTTGCCGCTTACAGCTTATTTAAGTGGGCTGAGCTCATGGCATTGTACTATGGGACCAACACTGGCTTCAAAACCAGTATCAGTCAATATTACTGGAGATTCCTCCAGCCCTGTCTCTACCTTCCCTTGTGCTGTTGATACTTAAACATCTACACTCTAGCCCTGTCCTCTACTTTCCCCTGGCAATGGTGATACCTTCAGACATGTCCTCCACCTTTTCCCTGGTGTTGGTGATACTACCAAACCTGTCTTCTGCCTTTCCCTTCTGTTTATACTCCAGACCTATCCTCCCACTGTTCCTTGGTGCTGCTGGTACCTCCAGACCTGTCCTTCAGCTCCCTCTTGACATTATTAATGCCCCCCAGATCTGTTTTCCCACACATCTGATGCCACTGATATATTTAGACCTGCCTTTCACCTTGTTCATCACAAAAAGTGCCAGATCCATTACCCACTTTCCTTGGTGTTACTGATATATACAAACCTGTCATTATAAAGACTCTCAAATCTGTCTGCCACTTTCTTGATGCTACTGATACATCAAGATGTAAAAAACCCCCCCCACCCTGTTTAACTTGTATCATATTTTAATTAATACAGTAACTTCATTAAAAGTCATAAGTTTGGGCACTTTTACTCTACATTAATGCTTTTTAACCATGTATACAGTAGCTTAATTTCAGTAGAAAAATTTGGAATTTCCTAAAGTAATGGCAATCAGCAAGATAAATACTGAATTATCAACTTAACAGATTTTGGGCACCAATGTCCCATACTCTATTTATGGCCAAGGACAAAAAGAATATAATAATTATATAGAAATGAACATTTAGGAAGCTCACCCCATCCAGCTCCTGATACGGGCTCTTGGAGAATAATCTGAAGCCTTTCCACCAAACCGTTTCAGTCTAGGATTCCCACATTCATTTTTGTGCAGAGATTCCCATTTCAACACCTGCAAGAGTGAGTATGCTTATTTACTATTAATGCATTATTTTAGTCTTTACATTTAACATAGCTGCTTTTAACCCATAAGCAGAAAGTCAAGCAGTTACATCTTTCTTATTCAAATTTTAATTGTTTCTAGACCTGAAGAAATGGAATCCAATTTGTGCAACATCAATAATTTATTTACATATTATTTTTGTTGACATCCAAGGCTTAAATAATAAATCATTTAAAATTATAATGCATGCAGATATCTTTCCTAATAAGACTTTATGACAAATACTGTTTGCCACTGAAGTAAGACTACTTAGCTTTAAAGTATAAAAATATTAAACTTGCAAAATGAAAAGGTGAATTAAGAGGAGTAAGGATCGTGTGGAAATACCCATCAACTCCACTTACCAAGTATACTACAAAATACAGCGGTGATTAGGTATATCAGAAACAAATACATACACATTAGAACCCCCGTATCCACTGATTCAGTATCTGTGGTTTCAGTTATCCATGGTTTACTGTGGCCCAAAAATACCTCTTAATTTTGCATAATAATGGCCCCAAAGCACAAAAGTAGAGAAGTTGGCAGTTCTTCAAAGCCTAAAAAGTCATGAAGTGCTTCCCATCAGTGAAAACGTAATAATTCTCCGCTTATGTGCATAATACGTATATATATATATATATATATATATATATATATATATATATATATATATATATATATATATATATATATATATATATATAATCTATCATTAAACTTCATAATAGGTATGTAGAGGACTTATATATAGGGCCTGCTACAATACGCGGTTTCGGTATCTGCAGCAGGTCCTTGGAAAGTATCCCCCATGGATATGGGGGTCCTACTGTACTTGGATGCACACCTACTATGCTAATATATTATTATACTATTTAGGTTAAATGAATAAAAATCCCTCTTACTTCTTGCCATGCTAACTCATTATTGACATTATGGATGCGAATAATGTTTTCCATATCTTGCTGGGTGAGGTCATCATCATTCCACCTCCAGCCTTTCCTCAACATGGCATTCCAAAACATCTGAGGAGAGGGATAAACCCAATTCTCATTTTCTGAGCCAGATTTAGGTATTGATGAAACCTGAAAAAATAATAGGATACAGGATACAGAACTTGATAATTTCACAAAAACATGAAATGCAAGCAATAAAACCACTACTAGTATTCACGAAGACAAAGATAAATCATAGCCAGCTAGAGAGGCCTAGTGACATGGCACATGATCCTGGTTTGTGACTCACAAAATCGAAATAACACGACTGCAAACAAAAATACAAATGGGTGGAGCTTGAACTCAGAGCAGGTGAGCCCTAATTAGCACAATAAATACCATTACACAGAATATGGGTAGCTTTTGATTTACTGAGTCTCTCACTTGCCTTCTGCTTGGCAGACTGTAAGACCTCAAGTAAAGGGGCACCTCAACTTCTCTGTTCATGGTTTCCAAGCAAAACACTACGTATCTGATAATTCAAGTTTCAGTACTACTTGACTGTCACATTATTATTATCATTATTATTATTATTATTATTATTATTATTATTATTATGAAGATGACACCCAATTTTTTTTTGTCTATGCCAATACTGACACATGTACTCAATTTTAGACTGAAACCGACATCAAAATTAGCCGAAATCCACTTATACTGGTATTGATACCATCAAAATTGGTTGATACCCAATGATACTAATACATACCTACTTGGTTTTCAGCTGATACTGATACCATCAAAATTGATCAAAACCAATACTTTGGCACACCCCTAACTATTATTATTTTTTTTTTCAACACATTGACCATCTCCCACCAAGGCAGGGTGACTCAAACAAGAAACACTTTCACCATCTTCTTTCAACAAACTGGCCGCATCTCACCAAGGCAGAGTGGCCCAAAAAGAAAAATGAAAGTTTCCCCATTTAAATTTAATAACATATACAGGAAAAGGGGTTACTAGCCTCTTGCTCCCGCCCTTTTAGCCGCCTCTTACGACACGCATGACTTACAGGGAAAGAATTCTGTTCCACCTCCACATGGAGACAAGTGGAAATAAACAAGAACCAGGAAGAAAATAGAAGAAAACCCAGAGGGGTTTGTGCATCTTTCTTTCTTTCAACAAACCAGCCATATCCCACCGAGGCAAGGTGGCCCAAAAAGAAAAACAAAAGATTCTCTTTTTAAATTTAGTAATTTATACAGGAGAAGGGGTTACTAGCCCCTTGCTCCCGGCATTTCAGTCGCCTCCTAAAACACGCATGGCTTACGGAGGAAGAATTCTGTTCCACTTCCCCGTGGAGATAACAGGAAATTAACAAGAACAAGAACTAGTAAGAAAATAGAAGAAATTCCAGAGGTGTGTGTGTGTGTGTGTGTGTGTGTGTGTGTGTGTGTGTGTGTGTGTGTGTGTATATATATATATATATATTATATACATATATATATATAATATTAGATATATAATATATATATATATAAATATATAAATTAAACACACACCTTATATATAATATAATATATATAGATATATATATATATATATATATAAAATACAGAGACCCCCGTTAAACGCTTATAATATCCGTGCAAGAAGGGCACATCGTTATGGCGAAATAACGTTTTGCAATCCAATTTCCATAAGAAATAAGAAATAAATTAAATCCGTCAAGACGCCCAAAGTATGAAAAAAAATTTTTTTCCACATGAAATGTTAATTTTAATACAAACAAACGAAAAGGGCATGCACAATTAAATGACACCTTACCTTTTTATTGAAGATCTGGGATATTATGGATGGGAGGAGGGGAAAAGTGTGGTTAGTGTTTAATGGAATCCCTTCCATTAGGAACTTGAGGTAGTAAGTCTTTTCTGGGTTACTTCCCTCGTCTTCCTTTAAAATGCCACTAGGCCAGCTTCAGGTCACTGGACTTCTTTTCGCACAAGATATCTGTCATAGTGGCCTGACCTCTCGTTCCTTTATGACTTGCCTAAAGTGTTCACAACATTGTCCAGGTAATAACAACCACACGGCTTGCAATACTGTGGGCGGGTGATTTTCTCCATAAGGTTTGCACTCTAGCCACTTTGCACAGATTCCTTAATCTCTGAAGAGGCAACTTCTTCATTCTCTCCTCCCCTCCTCGGCCCGAAGGCAATTTTCCTCAGGTGTGGCTCGTTGCTGTTGAAGTTGATCTAGCAGCTCATCAGTGTTAGTTTCTTCATTGTCCTCCCTCCACCAACTCTTCACATCCTCCCCACTAACCTCCAACCCCAAGGACTTTCCCAAGCACAATGATTCCTAACGGCACAGGATTCTCAGGGTTTGCCTCAAACCCTTCAAAATCCCTTTTTGTCTACACTACTGGCCACATTTTTTCTTCCAAGCGAGATCAAGGTCCTCTTTTCACTTCCCCTCCCAAGCCTTTACCTATAAGGTTTACCACAATTGAGATATTAAAAGTGATCTCTTCCAAAACTCTCTTAGATCCAGTTAGTTTTTCTGAGGTCATTACAAAGCACCTTTCAAACAAGCTTTTGTGTACAGTTTCTTGAAGTTGGAAATAACCTGCTGGGCCATGTGCTGCAGGAAGGATGGTATTAAGGAAAAAACTACACCATTAATGAAGCTCATGTCCCCATAAAGTCGCTCTGACACTTCTGTAGGATGACCAGGTGCATTGTCCTAACACCAGGAGCTCTTAAGTTCTAATTTCTTTTTCGTTAGGTAATTTTCACATTGGGGCAAATGCATGGTGTTCACCAGTTATAAAAAATTCCCTAGTACCCATGCCTAACTGTTTTTGCCCTCCACAGCACACACAATATCCTTGATGACATTCTTTTTGCACTGAACGCTCGGATTTCAGCAGTGATACACTAATAAAGGCTTCACTTGCAATCACCATAGCATTGGCACACATCAAACCAAATAATCCTGTCCTTTCGGATAGGCTTAGGTCCTGGAGTGCCTTTCCCTCTGAGTAAAAGTAGTCTCCGCTTGCATTTCTCCAGACAGGCCTGTTTCATCACAATTAAACACTTGTTCGGTTTCATTCCTTCCAGTTCCTAGTACTCCTGAATTCCTGCACATATTTTTCAGCCGCTTTGTGGCCTAACTGGCAGCCTCACATGCCCTATCACACTATGATGCCACTACCTCTAAATCTCTCAATCCCAACCTTTGCTGGCCTAAAATTCACTCAATCATCACTATTGCAGCATTTTTTTAATTAAATCGTCATGCACTTCCTACCTTTTCACATATACCGCTGAGAGACGCTAACTCCTGCTATCGTTTGTCATTTAACCACACCAATAAGAGTCTCTCAACATCTTCCATCAATTGCAATCTTTGTTTCGAAAACACAGTTGAAACCTTTGCAAGAACACTTCCTTGTTGTCTTTCTGTGCCCACAATAGTAGCGATGGTTGATTGGGTTTCTTGACAGCTTGACTAGGTGGCTATACGCACTCACACTTTCATACTTATCAATTATCTCTTTATTCATCTATATATAATTCTTACACTTTGAGGTTTAGGGTTGACACTAAAGCTTTCCTTGGGGCCCATGTCACTTCTTTCCAGAAACAGCACCGAAATACTGGTAATAATACGAAATATTCCGAGTGTATGCTTGTTTACCGCGGAGGCTGCTGGTAAAACAATGGGACGGAGCGGCACATGTGAGGCTGCTGAGGGCACATTGGACGCGTCTCGGACGAAAATCGTATGCGGGTTTTTAATCGGTATGCGAGTCACAAATTTTGCGATAAAAGTAATCGTTATGCGGAAAAATCGCTATGCGATGCCATCGTTATCGGTGGTCCACTGTATAATATTAATATATATATATATATATATAAATATATATATATATAATATATATATATATAATATATATATATATATATTTTTTTTTTTTTTTTTTTTTTTTTTTTTTTCAACAACCACAGCCGTATTCCCACCGAGGCAGGGTGGCCCAAAAAAAAAACAAAAGTTTCTCTTTTCAAATTTATAATTATACATGAGAAGGGGTTACTACCCCTTGTTCCCGCATTTTAGACCGCCTCTTACAACACGCAATGGCTTTACGGAGGAAGAATTCTGTTCCACTTTCCCATGGAGATAAAGGAAATAAACAAGAACTAGAAAGAAAATAGCAGAAAACCAAGAGGTGTGTGTAATATATATGCTTGTACATGTATGTGAAGTGGTGACTTAAGTGTAGTATAAGTTAGCAAGATGTACCTAAAACTTGCAAGTTCATGAGACAGAAAAAAGGAGACCAGCAAATCCTTCCATCATTAAAACAATTACAGGCTTTCATTTACACACACTGCAGGACGGTTGTACCTCCCTGTGGTTGCTGTCCCTACCCAACCTACTACTAGGACAGCACCTGTAATATAAATATATGCAGGACAAGCTCTGGGGGGAAGGGGGTGGAAATCATTAGCTCAAGTACTTTCACACTGCTCAGTGCATCACCAGGACCCGTGCAATGTTGCAATGGAGCAATCAAATGATACTATCCATGTCTACAGCATCTAAACGAGAAACTTATTTTTCCCGACCATTACCTGTTATAAATGATTAAGGAAAAGCCATGGGGCTGGCTTTTTATAAATCTTATATTTCCTACTGACATCTCAGAAACCCTCCTACCCCATATGGGAGTGAGGATGATGGTAATAGTGGGGTTGCCACCGACCACTAACCCAGTCCTATATAAGCTTAAGCCAGTTAAGCTTACCTGCCTGCGATTGTTTGTATAATATAGATATATATATATATATATAATATATATATTTAATATAATATATATATATATATATAAAAATAATAATATATATATATAAATATATGTTTGCAAGTGGTAATGGTGTAGGAGTATGGTTACTGAAAGCAGTGAAGAGTTTTATAACGAGCATAGGAGCTCAAGTTAGAGTATTAGGAAGAGGGAAATTATTTCCCAGTAAAAGTAGGCCTTAGACAAGGATGTTGTGCTGTCACCATGGTTGTTTAATATATTTATAGATGGGTTTGTAAGAGAAGTAAATGCAGGGTCTGGCAAGAGGCGTGAGTTAAAAGATAAAGGTGCACAGCAGCTCTTTGCTGATTTGACACTGTCACTTGGGGGAGCTTCCTGAAGAGAAGTGCAGAGATTGTGATGAAATTGTAGGGTGAGCAAAAAAGAAAAGAAAAATTAAAGGTGAATACAGTAAATAGTTAGGTTATGAGGATAACAAAAAATTAGTGATGAAAGATTGAATATCGAATTGGAGGGAGAGAGTATGAGGAGGTGAATGTATTCCAGATATTTGGAGTGGACGTGTCAGCGATGGGTCCATGAAAGATGAGGTGAATCATAGGAATTGATGAGGGGAAAAGAGTGATGTTCACTTAGGAGTCTGTAAGACAAAGAACTTTTGTCCTTGAGTCAGAGGGGAATGGTATAGAGTTATAGTTTTACCATGCTCTTATATGAGAGGTGAAGCATGGTGATGAATGTTCAGCGAGGATAGGCTGGACAGTGGAGATGTCATGTCGAGGGCAATGTGTGGTGTTAATATAACAGAGAATTCCGAAGTTTGGAAAGTTCGGGAGTTCGGGATACCAAAACTGTTGTCGCAGAGGGCTGAGGAAGGGTTTAGGTGGTCGGAACCTGTAGAGAGAATGTAGCGAAACAGAATACTGTCAAGATGTATCAGTCTGAAGTGGAAGAAGGGCGGGTAGGGGTTCGGCCTAGAAAGGTTGGAGAGAGGGGGGGTTTTAAAAAAAAAGGCGGTTTGTGTGCGAGGGGCTGGACTTCCAGCAGGTAAGCGTGACGTTTGATAGGAGTAATGAGACAAATTGTTTTAATACAGTGGACCCTCCCTTAAAAACGATCACGCTCCAAATGCGACCAATTTTGTAAGTGTAATTTATGTAAGTGGCGTTTGTACGTGTAAATGTTGGGGGTCTGAAATGACTAATCTACTTCACAATATTCCTTATGGGAAAAATTCGGTCATACTGGCTCCTGAACATACTACGGAATGGAAAAAAGTTCGTTAACCGGGTCCACTGTACTTGACGTGCTGTTGAGTGTGATCAAAGTCACATTTATGAAGGGGTTTCAGGGAAACCGTCAGGCCGGACTTGATCCTCGAGAAGGAAGTACAGGTGCCTGCCCTCTGAAGGAGGGGTGTCAATGTTTGCAGTTTAAAAACTGTAGTGTAAAGCACGATTCTCTTCTGGCAAGACAGAGATGGAGTGAATGATGGTGAAGTTTTTCTTTTTCGGCCCACCCTGCCTTGGTGGAATCGCCAGTGTGAAAATATATATATACATATATATATATATATATATATATATATATATATAAATAAATATTTTCTTTCTTTCTTTCAACACCACCAGCCGTATCCCATCGCGGCGGGTGGCCCTTAAAGGAAAACAAAAGTTTCCCTCCTTTCATATTTATATTATATACAGGAGAAGGGGTTTACTAGCCCTAGCTCCTGGCATTTAGTCGCCTCTACAACACGCATAGCTTACGGAGGAAGAATTCTGTCCACTTTCCCATGGAGATAAGATGGAAATAAACAAGAACAAACTAGTTAAGAAAATAGAAGAAAACCCAGAGGGGTGTGATACATATGTTGTACATGTATGTGTAGTGTGACAAGTGTCAGCAGAAGTAGCAAGACGTATCTGAAACCTTGCAAGTTTATGAGACAAAAAAACACCAGCAATCCTACCATCGTGTAAAACTATTACAGCTTTACGTTTTACATCTCACATTGCAGGACCGGTAGTAATATATATATATATATATATAATATATATATATATTAAATTTTTTTTTTTTTTTTTTTTTTGTTTTCCACACGTCGGCCGTCTCGCCACCGGGCAGGGTGACCAAAAAAATAGAAAATCCCCCAAAAAGAAAATGCTTTCATCATCATTCAACACTTCACCACACTCACACTTATCACTGCTTTGACAAGGTGCTCAGAATACAACAGCTTAGAAGCATATTACGTATAAAATACAAACATATCCTCCCAAACTGCCAATATCCCAAACCCTCCATTAAAGTGCAGGCAATTGTACTCCCATTCCAGACTCAAGTCCGACTAAATGAACAAAACCGGTTTCCCTGAATCCCTCATCTAAATATTACCCTGCTCCCACCTCCAACAGAATCGTCAGGTCCCCAAGTATCATTCGCCTCCATTCACTCCTATCGTAACACGCTCATGCACGCTTGCTGGAACTCAAGCCCCTAGAGCCCACAACAACCTCCTTTACCCCCCTCTCTCCAACCCTTTCGGGACGACCCCTACCCCCTCCTTCCATCCCCCATAGATTTATATGCCGTACCATGGTCAATACTACTTTGATCACAATCTCTCTAAATGACCAAAACCACCTCAACAACCCCTCTTCTGCCCTCTGACTAATGCCTTTTATTAACTCCAACCTCTCCTAATTTGCAACTCTCTGAATTTACAGCATAATATT